CACACACATATATATATAATATATATATATATATATATATATATATATTACCATATCAAATATCTTTGTGGAATGTATTCTCGCGGTCGCCTGTGTCGTATAGTGTTGTTTTCTTTTGTAATAGAGTCCTACAAGAATAGACTCGTATTATTATAAAATTAAAATGTTATTCATGTTCTTGCGCTCACCTGTGTCAACTAATAACTCAGGGACTGGCCAAACACCCATTCATACACGAACCTTGGGTGACAGCAAAAGGCTCCAAGTGCAATTTCCTCGACTTAGTCAATCAGGAATGGGCTCGGATGCAGAAGATCGGTGCTGAACCTAGCGATTGCACGTACATTGAGATGTTCAACGCTCTGCATGCATTCTCTGTACAAGTCCATCGCGAGCAATCGACTCACGATGTGCAGTTGTATAGTAGTATGCATGAAGAAGTGTTGATGAAGATGATCCAAGCTCTTTGTGCGCATGATAGGGCCTCGAAGCGAGATATAGTTAATGATCGGGTGCTGTTGAGCATCTTCAACAATTGCAGTTCAGATGTATTGCTGCAGAGAGTTCGGCAAGTCTTCGCCAGCGCTTTTTGAGGATCGGAATTAACCCTGCCATTTCGGGGAATAAAATTGTATACATCATCATAGGTTTTGGTGTGTCTGTGGTTTCTTGCCTTCGATCGGCTGGTAGCGCTCGTAGACCCTGAACGCCCTTTTTTTCTTGAGTTGTGGAAACTGGGATTTGAAATTTAGCTAATCAATAATCTGGGATCTCGATCTTGATTCGAGATATACGAGCGCGTTTCTTTCAAAAGGCCATTGTTGCATCTCCTTTTTGGGCAGGTTTCAAGATAACGTCAGGGCGACTCGTGTGTAGTAAGTTCGCGTTTCTACTGCTCTTGGGCGCATCCTATATGCTTGACATCCGGATGTCTACACTCATATTGATTCCAAAATCGGGCAATCAACAATTTACACATATACACTATTTCGTAGTCTCCCACAATCCTTACGATAGCACCAATAGCTCATATGTTGTAGTCGACCTTCTGAACGGATGTGTAGATGTAGCTAGTTGGACTATGACTATACGGTAAGACGGACGTGACATCTCCGCTGCTTTTAATATCAGATATCTTCGTCCTTACACTAGAGAACGCAAAATTTTCTCGCACATGCACGCAACAACGCTCTGACATACGGACTGTCCTACTTTGTATATGGCCTACTGTAACGATGCAATATATCTAAGTTTCATATTTGCTCACAAATCCTCGCCTTGTTTGGATCGAATCTGCTTGAGCCGCACAATGCAAACCCTAAACCCTAAAACACAGTGCGAAAGAACTCCAATGAAGACGAGGACAGATTCAATTGGGCCTCGATCCTCGCAGTCGGAACACCGGGCCGCTACTAGCCAGACGAGTATCGGTGATCAGCATACATTTATATAGCGTGAGTAGTTTGGATTTTATTTGCGGACATTGGTATTGCATGGTGGTATGGTTGATTGAAAGTACCTCTGACCTATTCGCTTGTTGATGCGGGAGGGGCTTTCACGGGTCCCGCGTCCTGTACAAGATAAAGGAGAATGGATGTATTGAACTCGTGCACATGTAGTGATCGTGAATGAGTGCCGTTCCTACCTAGTATAGTATACGTGAATCATTGTATTGTGAACCGATTTCTGAACAACATGCCCTGAGCATAGGATGCTGTATCGCTATCCATTATAAGTTAACTATTTCTGACGCATGTTGAGTGCGTCACAGAGATATGTGCTTTCGCATCCTACTAAGGACGCAAGTAGAAAAAATGTCGGGTACATAAGTATGTGTATGGGTGCACAGGAACACGTATAGAAGCACAACAAACTCATGCGTTTTTATAGCCACAAGCTGCATGTAACTTAAGAACATATGTTTGTATAAGATGCGATGGAGGCGATGGCAGAAGAAGTTGAATGCAATAGACTCAGTACTGAAAGGGTGTTTTCTAATTTAAAGTACAACATGCAAAATCCAACTGGAAATGGTGCAGACAAACATCTTTATAGGCAAATTGTTCGAAGCGAAGTATCACAAGCTTGGGCTGCGTAATATGACAATCACATATATACTGTATAAACATATGTGCATATTTACATCGTTCCAATCACGCTCACATAAACTAGAAATATGGATTCATCTGTAGGAATATCGATAGAAGTGTATTTATATTTCGCACATGTTTTTCATCATTCGGACAATGTTCCAATTACATTATAGCTTAATCCAAGTAGCCTGGCATATATCAGGTGATGGTAAGATTTCAACGAAGACGTATATATACTCTAATGTTTTATGGAACATACATGTATATAGCTAAGCATGAGTGTTTTACAACATATATACATATCCATACATTTGTAGTTAATACTCAGAGATCCTCTCATATCTATGTATACATAACTTTAAAAAAAATTCTTTTAGATTATACTATCCGGCGTCTCATTGTTTGATATTTCATATGCAATCACAAAATAAGCTTATGTCGTAAACATATACACGCGGCTGACCTCCACACATATGGAACGATGTGCTTGAGTATATATATAGAAATTATCGCAGTGCATTTGAAGGTATGTTTAAAACTTCTGTTTAACTAATAATACGAAGGATTCACGCATATATGTATACATACCGTAGTCGGTGCCTCTGTGAATGACGTTCCATCTACGAGTGAGCTAAGTCCGTTCGACAACGCAGTAAACAATTCACCGGCGCTGGTAGAAGCAGCTTCATAAGCTTCGTTAGTTCCAGTCGATAACGAGCTCAAGAGCTCGCCAGGTACTCTGTATAGAAAGTGAAGCAGAAAGCACAAAACAGAAAGCACAAAATTACCGAGCAGGTGTTAACTCCAGGTACGACAGAAACCTGCTTGAAACAAGTCTGTACCATACTTGCGACGCGGATGCTTATTTTACTATTTAACTCGACCCATTTGGACGAAAGTTCAATATTCACAAAGAATCACATACCGCCCAATACAGGTGCCATAGTAACATAAGCAACCGGTAGAAAAATACGAAGTCAAAGATATAAAGTTACCGGATGAAACATAGAAAAACAACGAGCACTCGCCAAATGCAAACATACTCTGCCATCTCAGAGACAATGGAGCTGACGTTGTCTGTATTTAAAGCACCGCCCTTCTCGAACTGGTCGTTAACAATTCTTTGAGCGTCACCGGCCACAGATGCGATTCTGTATTGAAAGAGATAATAAATGGCAAGGGGGGGAGGCTTCAGAGTCGCTAAGGTGCCGATAAGTAAGTTCAAAGTAAGTAAGCGAGTTAAGCATCTGGGTTGTACGACCCACCAACGACTGACTCGTTTTCGCATTTTGGGCTGTATTTCAAAGTGCATACGAGCAAAAATGTCGCCTATAGTCTAAAACAGTTCGTCCTATCATACCACTGTACAACATACAAAGTTAACAAGAAAATCGCAGTGGCAATATTCACAACACAGAGATGGGCGAACTCAGTCAATTTCGATACTAAGGAAACGCACTGCCTCCACAGGATTTCAGATTCAGCTAACTACCAAGTATTTGTTATATGTTTCAAAAAACACAAAAACAATCCGGAGTCACGTTTTGTGAAAGATCAGAGTTAGGTTTGGGTAACGTCCATTGCCAAAGTACAATCATAAATGTGCGCTGAACTGGTCGTACTCTACGATAAGCAGCTTACGTTTCGGTCCATGACTCAGGAGCAGACGTTGTCTCTGCGGGGATTGATACTGATTCAGCTTCGACAGCTGGAGCCGTACCCTCTACTTCTACTGCTGACATTACAACGATACCCCAGTATACACAACAGAGGTTCTCTTAAGTGAAAAGTTGCGGCTTTGCGCTGTTTTGTTGACATTTTATATGTATTTAGTGTTCTAACTTCCATCCAAATATAAGAGTTTTCTTATTTAAAAAAACCGTATGAAATCTATTTTTAATCAATCTAGCGTTTACGTTCAACGTTTACTGCATGGGGCAAAACTAAAAACACAAATGTTATCCTTGTTTGTTTTTAAATTTTTATTTATTTATAGAACATATTTACATAGCCTTCTAAATTACAGAACATTTAGCCTTCTGAATTCAACATTTGTAAATATGATTTTTTACTCTTGCTTTATTATTGTCATTACATTGATTTTGGTATTTGTGTGGAATTCCTGTGATCATTTTTTTTTATTTGTTTAAAAAAACACCCGGCACAGGATTTGATATTTTGTTTAGGAGGCTGTCATTATTTTATACTAAATACATACATCATTAAGGACTCGGAGGCTATGCTTTTTTTGTTAATAATTAATTATTTTGAAAGGCTATGGAAGATGGCGTTTTAAAATATATATATAGGGGCATACATAGTGTATAATTTAGAAGGCTATGGGAAGGCTATGGGGCTGGGCATAGGCTTCTGAATATTGAATTCAAATTTCATATTTATTTTTAGCCTCCTCTATGCGAGCAAAAACACAACCACCTGCCAATTCTTGACAGTTGACAGTGCCCTCATATTTCTGGACAGGGTATGTACATAATCTTCAGTTGTCTTTGAGACAAATAGGAATGAGAATTGATCGCTCTCTCTAGTAGACGCCAGAGGGCAGTGTATTTTTTTACCTATGTGTCTGCGCCTCTGCCACTTTGCTCCTCTGCACCTCAGTGGTGACGTGGGCATCCGATCCCTCTTCTTTTCACACCACATACATGTATGCACACAGACAGACACAGATGCACACACACACACATACACACGCACACACGCACACACACATACTCTCTCTCTCTACTAGAAAAAGAGAGAGAGTACACCGCCAAACAGGCGAGCACCTTCAATTTAAGGTATCGACAGTATATCCCGCACACTGTTTGTGCTGTCTATTTATACTTAGTTTGAAGGTCAACAACATTGTTGCGTTTGGGTCCAGAGTATATAGCACTCGCAATTGAATACTGTCGATCAAGGTAGTCATATTACTTTCATACATGCTATACATTCTTTCTGTGAGTCGAGAATAAAAAACATTTTCAAAACTTCAAAGAAGAGTGCTAGACAAAGTGAATTTAATCTGGAATACCCGATTTTTATGTTAGCAGCAATAGTATAGGAGAACACAGTCAGCAATACACCTGGATATTGCAGTAGACAAACGTGCAATGTGAAGTTTTTACACCGAAAATCGTATGTATGTGGGGGTTCTCAGCTCCAGAAGTTATGTATTTTTATTATGGCAACTCTGTTTATCAACTAGTTTATCGGTCACCCTATGCAAATTGAATGTCAAAAACTTGACTTAAAACATTGTAGCTGATAAAATATCAACAAGTAAGGATGTACAAAACCATGTCGCCTGGGAGGGAAATAGTTGAGAGCGGGGATGGGTTCGATGGTCACTGCTGTTATACAAGCGTTTGTTTCTCCTTGCAGGAGTTGAAGAAGTTCGTTACTGCAGTCATATCATAACCAAGAAGGGATCAGTAGGGCAGCTCTAAATATCACTTTGAGGATAGACTCTGAATATTGTTGCCACTTGAGTTGCCAGTTGCGCGCCAAAACTCAATTAGGAGTAGCGAGGAATCCGGAATGAGATAGTTCCGAAGATGGTTTAGGGTTTGTAAACTTTACCGCATAGAATGGTATAGATTGATTAGTCATGAAACAAAATAGCTCAGAACTTTAAAAGTTTGTGCCATCTTTTAATATTACTTAGATTTAATTAGATGGTTTTAACTTTTCATGTAAAAGATTTCACAAACCATGAATATGGAACAAAATAAAAATAAAGGCAACCCCTCTTGAAATATGCCTTACTCGGCGTGCTTCTCTCCTGGCCGGCTGGCCTCCTGGCTTCTGGACCTGTGGGAAGAACTGTGAGACACTGGGACTCTGGGTCCTGGGACTCTGGGAAACCTGTGCCCTGTGCCCTGTGGCTGTGGGAGAAATTGTACACAGACGCCTAATTGATTTTGGAAGAAAAAGTACTTGGATTTTGAGTTTTTTTAAAACTGTTAAATACATGCCCGGGGGCAGGCTGTGGAGGTCTGGATATTTAAATATTATAGCCAGACGCAATATATTGTTCTGACATATCATTACTATTGGTATTACCGATCCGGTATTTATACTTCTTTTACAGAGCTATTTGCTGTGCACTTGTACTTGTAAGATTTTAGACCGAACTAAGTGTGACCTGTGATCAAAAGCTCCAACTCAAAACAAATCCTCATCGTCACTCCAATAGCAACTATACGTCTGTCCACTGTCTAGGGTGTAACGGAGTATCGGTTCCATTTATAGTGGAACGTGAAAGGCTGTTGATATGCGTGTAGCCTGCCACGTATCGGTCGCCGTGTTGCTCGCGGGGCTAACTTATGCACAAAATGATACAGCAGAAGAAACAAGCGCCGAGGAGGGCTGCGTTGATGAGCGTGCTATAAATTTCAACGCAAACGTTATTAGCAATCCTGCACTATGTATGATACCTACTGTCCGATCTGAAACTGGCGACTGGGAGACCATGTAAGCACATTCATCAGCTTACACTATAAAGGGCTGCATGATATTCTGTTTCGAATTCTCA